CATGCAGATTCTTGGTCTCCTGTAGACCCAAGGTCATGGGCATCTATAGTCTTGACAGGCATGTGTGGACCCAAGTGTAATGTACTTGGGACATCTGGAATTGAGGAGAGGGCAAAGAGAAGAGGGAACCACAGACCAGATGCACAAAAGGAAAGGAAAGAGGAAAGACAGACACAGGTGATGGGAATGAGGAAAATCCCCCGTCATCTGAACTCAACTCCAGTTCTTAGCAGCTGCTCCCCAAAGGTCGTCAACTCCGGGAAATCTGACACACTTTGAAAATCTTCTCTCTTAAAAACTATGTATGCTCGCACACGTATGCCACTTTGCCCACACCCCTAGAGGCTTTTCTGGCTACTCCGAGCTTCCCTACCATTCCTTTCCCCAGTATGGATCTGCAGTTTCAGTTTTATCACAGCCTAGCTTTTCAGGGGAGCAATACTGAAGCAGAAAAGAGAAAATGCAAGAGGGCTGGCAGGGAGGGTCACACATGATCAAGGGGGGAAGTCGAATGATGTTACTTTAGTCTTCTCACAATATTTTGCCCTTCAATCATTGCTTTTGGAACTGATCCAAATAAAAAAGACATAAAATCAGTAAGTGCCTCCAGGCTAAAAATGAATGTAGGTACATAGTTAGACAGGTAGGTGGGTGGGTGGATGGATGGATGGATGGGTGGATGGCCTTTCTGCTTCTACAGAAAGTTCAGTTGTGCTGGCAAGTCTAGACTCCCTTTGCTTGAACCCCAGGATCCTTATCACCACAACTTGGACAAAAGCCACTAAATACCCACTTGGTCTTGGAAAATAACTCCAAGCAGATACATTTCTCAAAAGGTAATGATCTGATACCTCTGTCTATCCAAGAGGCTGTGTCCGTCTGCTTCTCCTGGCTACAATCTGTCTCCAAGTAGGAATTTTCCATCCCCCGCTAAATGTAATGTTATGCAGACAACTCAAAGGGAAAGGTAAAAGGATTAGTAGATTGATCGATGGAAGATATTAATGCTCTTTCATGTTGGGTTGAAGAAGGATTTGAGGTCATCAGGAGAGAGGGTAGCAGAATAGACCTCAAGTATTCAAAAGACTCTCTGGATTAAAATCCTATTAAACTCACATCAGCTTCTCCAGGAGGCATTTTAGAAGGTTGGGGTTTCTTTAACATGTCACCATAATTAACCTTCCCTTAAGCTGTTTTGGGTGGGGAACTTTAGCAATTAAGAAACTGAAAACTTTCATTTTCAGTCGCCCACATGGCCTTTTGAACGATTTAAAAACTAGAGCTGAAAGTAGTTGAGTGTAATTAATTTGAGGGGTTCAGATCTCCCAATTCAACCTGCTGTCAGACTTGCCCCTGGGATCTGAGCCCCTCAATAGAAAGGGCATTTTGTTGAGTGAAAGAATCAAAGGTTTGGATCTATGATGATTCTTTTCTTTCTCTAATCATTCTCCCACTGAGTTTTATGGAAAGAACAACTCTTCAGAGGGAAGGTTATTTCCCCTAAAAGGAGATCTGTTTCTGGGCCCAGACACCAGTTCACAAAAACTGGCGAGACCCCCAGAGACCCAAGGGGCTGTTGTCTCCCAGCAGGTGCGGGGCTGTGCTGTTGCAGCCTCCTGGCCCCCTGGCAGTGGTTCTGGGATGCAGCAGCCAAGCATCAAAAAAAAAAAAAAAAAAAAAAGTGGGGGTGTGGTTGGTCAGGAAATTCGTGTTGTTTTTAAAGAGTTTCTCTCAGCAGCTTTTTCTTCACTGCGTGAAATATCAACCCAACTTCAATATCAAGTCCTGCCCAATCCCAACAGCCTAAATCCACTGCAGCCCTGTCCTGCCACCCATTCACCTGTGTCCCATCACCTTTACCAGCCTGTGAGTCTTGAAACCCTGCAGCTCCTCCGCTGTCCTGGCACAGGGCAGCAGTCTGCCTGGCTCACCCACCGCTGTCAGCCTCCACTCTGTGCCTAGAGGCAAGTCACGGCCTCTCCTGCTTTACAATGCCAAATTCAGGAGACTGTGGGCTGCGTGACCCCTGAGGTCATTTTCCAGTTCTCAGCCTCTCTGACAAAGTAGTATGTGGGCTGGTTTTCACGGATCCTGTATCCAAGCCATTATTTATAATCATGATAATAATGTAAGACTAGAGAATATCTATTAAGCCCTAAAACATGTTCTGAGCTGTTCTCAATGAGCCATTCAAATTATTTCATTAACCCCACGAAGCAGAGACTCTTGTGACTGATACAGAGGGGGATTGTGAAGGTCAGCAATTTACCCAAAGTCACCCCAAGTGCGGTGCACCCTGCTTCCGGAGTCTGAGCTCTGAACTATTCTCCCAACTCCCCATTAAGAACCTGCTTGCTGAGTCTTCAGTTCAGGCTGCCAGTTGTTTAACTGATCTACATACATCTTCCCTGCCTCCTCAAGGGGCCGCCTGCCTGCCTGTCAATTGCTTTGATTTCTGACCCCAGGGCCCCAGCTGGTCTGGCCTCCACCTGCTCTAAGCAGAGGCGCACTGGCCCCAGGATCCAGCAGGCCCTTTGTCCTGAGGGTCTGGGGAGCAGGTGGCCGGAAAAGCAAGATAAGACAGTCCTGGGGAGCAGCTCGGGAGGTGAAGAGGAAGGAAGGCAGAGAGGGCTGATCTGAGGAGGAATTCCAAATGCCCACCCTCCCGCCACCTGAGCCCATGAACATGACTGTCCACTCTTGGCAAGAACGGAAACCTGGGGTGACTTCCTTGTCTCTGTTGCAACTACAGGACAAGGCAGGAAGCGAGTTCTCCTGGGAAGGTCTCAGAGGCACTTGTGCTAAGAGGTGGGTCTGTCACCTGCTACCGCATCTCTGCCTATTAAAATGTCACTTGCAGCTCTAGAGGCCAAAATAAACTTGCTTTTAAGTCTTCAGTGTTTGGGGGGGGAAATTTCTCATTTTATAATGGAAAATCTTTTTTTGATCATTTAGGGGGAAAAAAAGCAGTTCATCTCAGCAATCACACTTGTAAGCACTTTCCCAAATGAGCTGAAAACTTATGTCCACCAAAATAACCTGCACATGGATGTTTATAACAGTTTCATTCACGATTGACAAAATTTAGAAGCAACCAAGATGCCTTTCAGTAGATGAATGGATAAACAAACTGTGGAGTCCACATAACAGGACATTATTCTGTGATAAAAGAAATAAGCTATTACATCACCACAAGACTTGGGAGAACTTTAAGTGCATGTTGCTAAGTGAAGGAAGCCTGAAACGCTACACACTCAAAGAGCCCAACTAAATGACATATCTGAAGAAGTTAAAACGATGGAGACAGTAAAACAATCAGGGGTTGCAGGAGGGAGCAGGTATGGAAGAAGGAGGGCACCAGAGTTGCATTTTTAGAGCAGTGAAACCATCCTGTAGGAGCTGGGGTGGTGGACACACAGCACGATGCATTTGTCAATGCTCCACTAATTGCAAGATGTTCATCACGGGGAAATTGGGAAGGGAGGGTGGCAGAGGAGAGGGGAACTCGTCATACTTTCTGTGCAATTTTTCTATAAATAAAGTTGCTTTAAAAAACTAATATGTAGGGGCCTCCACAGTGGCGCAGCGGGTTGAGCGCAGTGCTGTGAAGTTGTCTGCAGCCTCTGCAGCACTGGTTTGATTCCCGCCCGGCCAGGGAGAAATCCACATGGCGCGGCAGACCTCTCCTGTCTCGCCCGCTGCTCCCCTCAGCAGTGTGTTTCAGTAGATCTGCCTGTTCTGCTCCCCACTCTGTCTCTGGTGAATCCTCTCACCCTCCCGTGCCTCTAGCCTGTATCCCAGCTCTTATATAAATAAATAAATCTTTAAAAAAAAACTAATATATAGAATATAAAATAACTAAACTAAGAGTCATTTAAAGACAAGCTTAAACTAATCCTTTATAGCTGACTACAGGGCTGAAGCACCAACCAGGAGACTGGAGTGGGCTAAAAACAGAGAGGCAAAGAAGCACAGTGGTCTGTGGGGGTGGAATACGGGTGAGTGCATGGCGGGTACACAATGGTGGTGTCAATTGATGGGGGTACCCAAATATTACCTCAATTAACAATAAATAAATAGAAATGAGAATAAAAATAAAGTCATAAGAATAGTCCATCTGAATATGATTTAGACACTGTCATGCAGTCACCATATTTCTCTGTATTTCTTTAAGCGAAACATAATCATCACAATAACCACATAGTCTCTTTTCTCCACTGAAATGCTGTTCATTCCAGATCTCCTCTAATCCCTACAAAAGGGATTATAAACTTTGGAAATTTCCAGAACTCTGGAAATTTGAGTTCAGAGCAGTTCAAGGGACTTTTCAGGAATCTCCAGCCAATAAGGGGAGGAAGCAGGCCTTGAACCCAAGTTTGCCCAGCCTAAGCTCTTACTGGTAACTCCTGCATTCTTAGACCCTGCTCCCTGCAGGACCACCAATGGTCAGCATCGCAGGAAGGAGATAAGGAGCCAAGAAAGTATCTACAATGCCTCTGAGTATATCAGTGCAAGTAAGTTCCTACTTGCTAGGAACTCAAAATCGAGTGGAAGAGGCAGATTAAGAGATGGACAATGGCAATGAAAGCCGCTGGAAGAGGGGTCCAGGTAGTTCCCTGCTTTAGCATTGGCATGGGCAGAACCCTCAGGTAGGAATGAAGATCACAAAGGAATTTCTCTTAAAGTTGTAGTTACATAGAAAACAACCCAGAGGCTCTAACTATTCCATCTCTGAAAACAGATGGAATGAGAGAATAATAATTCCGGAAGGAAATAATGTATAAAATTAGTAGCAACAGAAAGAAAATGACTAAAATAAGAGCTACAAGGAGGAAGGAGAAAAAGAATTTTTACATGTCTAAAATATGCATCATCCAAGTCGCTGACCTACATCCTCCTACTTATGCCCCCAAAGGTCTTCGGGGTTGATATTATTTTTGCCATTTTTTAATAAAGAGAATATAGAGTTGCTGGTGTTGCCAAATGCTGCTATTTCTTACCTGTGTCTTTTTGCTTATCTCGGGAAAGCTCATGGACCGTGGCACCAATTTCATGCCTCAAGATCTTGATGATGTTTGTCAGGGTGGGCAAGCTGCGTTTATCCAGGTAGGTGAAAAATTCATATTCATCTTTCTTTAAGCGGGAAGGTCTGGATTCAATATGGGTCAGGTTGATATCATTCTCCTAGAATAGACAATTGGGAGTGTGAAGGGGGCAGACGATGGAATCAACACAGACCAACACACAAAACTAGAGCAAAACACACAACAAGGAAGGATGAAGAGTAACATTTTTTAAAAAATAAGAGTAGAGGTGGGCCTCCCTCGTGACAGGAGGGGCACTATGAAGCTATCTGTAGCCTCTGCAGCACACGTTCAATCCCCTGACCCACATGGCGCAGCAGACCTGCTCCCCTCAGCAGTGTATTTCAGTACATGTACCTGTTCTGCTCCCCACTCTGTCTCTGGTGAATCCTCTCACCCCTACACCTCTGGCCTATATGCCAGTTCTTGTAAGCATAAACAAATCTTTAAATAAATAAACAAATAAATAAATATAAATAAAAAATAAATAAGAGCAGAGGGAAAATGTTAAAATTGCAAATGTTGCTTACTTTCTCTTCTGCAAAGTCAAGTAACAAATGGCAAGAGGTGGGAGAAATAGTTGTGATGCCACAGAATTTATCACATGGAAATCTGCTAAAGGGCTAGAATTACAACCAAAAGAATTTGGTTTAATTCAAATGTCTAAGACAATGGTTGTCAAAACTATTTACATAGGAAACTCTCCTTTCACAAATGAAATCCCATGGAATCATAATAATAAGATCTCAATAAATAAGTAATATAAAAACCACATTATTTTTCTTGAGTTGATTCCATGGGAGTCAGGCCTATTGGGCTTAAACCAAAGTTCTTTTTTTTCCCCCTAAGATTTATTTATTTATTTATACAAGCACTGGGGTACAGTCAGAAGTGCAGGAGGGTGAGAGAATTCACCAGAGCCAGAGCGGAGAGCAGAACAGGTAGACACACTTCCTGTGCTTTCTTCCTCATGACCCCCAAGGGTGAATGGTGGAGCCATTACACATGAGCACCAGCTGCAGAGAACACACCCTGACATCTGGCCAGGTCACCCAGCAAGAGGGCCACCACTTCGGGGGAGGACATGAGGAGGGAAGGCTGGGGCAATGGCGGCTCCTCTGAAGCTTTCTAAGCACATGGAAGTAACTTCCTAAACAAAGCAGAGAGTTACGTCATCCTTCTTGGCTCAGGAAGAAGGGGCAAGCTCCACCTGCTATTTACCTAAGTGGAAACTTCAAAAGAAGAAGTCACCAGGGGCCTCCCTGGTGGCGCAGAGGTTAAGACGCAACCCATGAGAAATCTGCAGCCACTGCAGCACAAGTTCGATTCCTGGCCGACCAGGGAGAAACCCACATGGTGGGACAGATCTCTCCTGTCTCACCCGCTGCTCCCCTCAGCAGTGTACTTCGGTCCATCTGCCTGTTCTATTCCCCACTCTGTCTCGAGTGAATCCTCTCACCACCCCATGCATCTCTGGTCTGTACCCCAATTCTTGTATAAAAATAAATAAATCTTTAAAAAAAAAAAAGATTTAAAAAAAAAAAAAGAAGAAGTCACCAGCCCTGCCTGGTGGAGAACAGAGAACACAGCAGCAGAGCCAAGAACCAAGAGCCAGCACACCCCTGGCATGCTTATTTGAGGAAGGGTTTGGGAAGGTGGAGCTATAGGGGGCTGGAGGGGGTGGATGGGAGAGGAAGGGTTGGAAGGCAGGTTATAAGCTGCTGTGTTCCCCACCCACCCCCTCCCCTCACAGCTGCCCTGCCAGAGAGCTGGTCTTACTTTGGGAATAGACAAAAAACAATTTATGACCCATGACTCTGCGATTTTTACCAATTGGAGACCTGTGGGAAAATTTTCACCGAATTAAATTATAGGAATTAAACTAAATTCCTATAATAAGAGAAAGGTTGGGTCAGCTGCAGTGCCATCCCTCAGGGTTATGCAATCATTAGAAAATAATTAGCTGCAACAACATGCATAAAATGTGTCATTCTCCTTCCAAGATATGTAAATAGTGGTGGTCTCCAGATAATGGGGCTCAGGGTGAGAGGGTTTCCTTCTTTCTGTTTTTATTTATCATGCTCCAGCTTTTCTAAAAATAAAAATATTTGTGTTTAAAAAATAAAATATTTATTTTTAAAAATAAATTTATTTTATTTTTTAATTTATTTTTAAAAAATAAAAATATTTATTACTTTCATAATAAAATATTAATTTTGTGGTTATAATGACATCCACCTGGGAAAATATTTATCATACTTTTTAAACATTAAAACATGTATTAAAAAATTAAGGCCAGGCCTCCGCCTCAAAATAATATCTAGAATTAAATGCATCTGACTGGGTTACAATGAGAGTATATGTAACTTCTATTTATTTGCCAAAGGTCTTGTAATATACCCATATAATGAAAAGAAAAATCTATCTTTTAAATGTGAGTGAAGCTTCTGGCTAAGAATCCCAGTCAAATTCTTTATTTCTTTCCCAGTTGAATTAATTCGTTAATTACTAGGTGAGATTAGGGGTGACAGCTTTATCCCCGTGCTTTTCCAGGCTAAAGAACTTTCTTTTCCTGTGTTCTACATTGTTTCTTGCCACCAGAATGATGAGTGATTATAATGAAATGGGGCATATTTCATTTCAAGCTACCAAGGAGCAGACACAACTCCTGTGGCACTAATGGGCTACACCACAGTCGAACTGGGAACAAAGTGAGTTCTCATTTTATAGTGAAGTTTAAAACAGTGGAAGTCTACTCAGCTATGAAGAAGAATGAACGCTTGCCATTTGCAGCAACATGGATGGAACTGCAGGAGATAAAGCTAAGTGAAATAAGTCAGAAGGAGAAAAATAAATACTAGATGGGTTCACCTGTATGTGTAATGTAGAGAAAGAAAACAAAGGGTGATACAGAGCCAAACCAATAACAAACCCTAGAAGTCTGACTACAGAATTGAGACTACTGGAGTGAGCGGGAAGAGAGAGGGTGTGAAGGGGGCCAATGGACTATGGTAAAGGATTATGGTGCCGCGTTGGGTGTGGTGTGGTAACATATATGAAGGGGCGTGATCCTATACCTCTGAATCATATACAGTATCATAAACCAATGTTAATACAATGATTAAAAAAATAAGTAAGCTCTGTGATAGTAGTTGTCAAACATATACGGCTCTGAACCGTTTTGAAGTTAAGAACATTTTTCCATTTGACGATCTTCTCACTAAGTAAGTCAAGAGACCCACACAAAATATTTGGCACAGTGCCATTTGAATGGACCAAAAATGGAAACAGTCTCCTGGCAGAATATAGAAAGGAGATAAATGAGCAAGAATTATATATATAATATAAAATTTGATTTTTATATATAATATAGAATTTTATATATAGAATTTTATATATAATTTGAAATTATATACAATATATAATGCATGATTTGTCTGTAATTATATATATATAATATCAAAAGCAATGCTCCCCAGAAGGAGAGTTACAATATGATCTGAGGTCTACGAAGATGAAAAACTTGCAGAAGTTGCCATATAATACTGAGGAAGATGTGAAACAAAGTAGGAAAAGATGCAAGGAAGTAATATAGCTCAAGTTCCAATTAAGTTACCTCTGAGGAGAGAGGTGCATGGGAAGTTTCTACAATGTTTTATTTTTTTTAATGTTTATTTATTTATACAAGAACCGGGGTGCAGGTCAGAGGCACGGGAGGGTGAGAGAATTCACCAGAGACAGAGTGGGGAGAAGAACAGGCAGCAGGACTGAAGACACTGTTGAGGGGAGCAGCGGGCAAGACAGCAGAGGTCTGCCACGCCATGTGGGAATCTCCCTGGCTGGCCAGGAATTGAACCTGTGCTGCAGAGGCTGTGGACATCTTCACAGCACAGCGCTCAACCCGCTGCACCACCAGGGAGGCCCCCAATGTTTTATTTCTTAAGCAGGGACTCACATCTATGAGCTACATAGGTATTTGTTATATTATTACCTATATTTTAGTTTAAAAAGTAAGTATGTCATTTGGGTTATAAGCCCTCTTTTGCCTCCAGTGGAACTCAAGCTTCTTCTTATTTTGATTGATGAAGAAAAGTTCCATGTAAACATTTTACTGCTGATGGCTGTTCTGGACCCAAGGCCAGAAAAGTAAAATCAACCCTCGTGATTGACTCTTGGTCCAGTTCTGTTCACCAGGTCCAGGGGTCACTTAAAGGGACTTAAAGTCCAACCTTTGGAGTAATAAACACCATGTATCTGCCCAAATGTCCCCTCTTCAACCCAGCTGCTGTCCCCAGGAACGCTGAGGCTGGCAGGTGGTAAAGAATTGGAGGATTCCTTAACCTTGTTTATTCCCTCACCTTAAGTCACTTGTCTTCATTCTGGAATTGACAGACGAGGTACACTGCTGAGGGGAGCAGTGGGTGGCAGGAGAGGTCTGCGTGCCATGTGGGACCCTCGCCCAGTGGCCGGGGATCGAACCTGTGCTGCAGAGGCTATGGGCAGCTTCGCAACCCAGTGCTCAACCGCTGCACCACTGGGGAGGCCCTAAACCAAAGTTCTTAATTGAGAGTTGGGGCTTTCTACTGAGACAGTGGGACATTTTCAGGCTAGCGTATAGGGGCCTTGGTATATTACTAATAGTTTGGCTCCAGTTCACTAAAACATCTGCTTTGTTGGTCCTACCACCCAACCCACAAACAAACACAGTACATCTGCATCACTTTTATCAGCATCATTGCATTCTGATGTGACTAGCTGAGGTCTGCAAAACTGCAAGCCCATTGGCAGGCAATGTCATCCCTTAATGGAATGGTGAGTTTGGTGGGAAAGCTGGAACCTCATGTAAGAAAGCAAACTTGACCAAGCTGGGAGAAATCTGCTCTCCTGTTGTAGACCCTGGTTTTCCTTTGAGGAGCAAGGATGCCTATAGGTGTTCCTGGTAGTCAGGGGCTAAGAAAGCTTCGTCAGGTAGAGTCATGCCAGAAAAGTCAGGTAGTCTAGGCTCACAAAACTGTATGTCTCTATTTACTACTCTGAGCATTTACTGAGGTTTGTTAAATATCCCGGGTGTAGCTCTGCAATGTTCGGGAGCACTGAGGGGTGTCCTGTTCACGAAGCAAGGAATTGACTGTAGCAGCATTTAGCAACAGATTCATAGTGTGTAAGTGTGGGAAGTGTTTCTCCCTCTGTTGTCAGTGTTAGAGGAACTGGATAGATTTTATCTTGTGTCTCTGTCAAGGAAAGATAAGTTTATTTATACCATCATTTTGGCTTTGATTTTCCCCTGCCTTTTGTAAACTGTTTTTTAACAGTAGTAATGCTTGAAATTAATGCCTTCTAGCACCTTCTGTAGTAAAGATGCTGCCTTTACGTGGTTTGAAATATATTCCTATGATGTCTACAGTGTCCTTTTGTCCCCGAAGTAATAGAGAGTAGTACTCCTCATCCACAATGACCTTCAAATATTTGAATAAGACCATTGCTTCCTCGCTCCATCTCTCTTCCAGTCAGATAATCCTAATCCTTTAACTTTATCATGCAGCCAAGAATAACTTAAAGATCCCTGATTCTCCATGGCCCTCTGAAAATACACTGCCTAGATATATTGAGAGCAAACATTTATTGAATTCTTACTATGCACCAGATGTTCCTGTGTACTTTCCATATTGAGAGCAAACATTTATTGGATTCTTACTATGTGCCAAATGTTCCTGTGTACTTTACATGTTTTAATTCACTTCATTTTCATAACATTCTAAATAATACAAGTTTATTATTACTTTCATTTTAAAAATGAGGAAACCAAGCCACCAAAAACTTAAAGCACTTTCTTAAGGTCACCCAGGTTATCCCAAAGAGTTTAGCTCTAGACAGTATGGCCAGTGCTGTTTTACTCCTTAAAACTCCAAACCTAGATTATGACCAAGAGTCTAGCGCGCATAACTGCAAAACAGCCTAAGTTTAGTGGGATATTAGCATCTGTAAGATATTAATGGGTCTTGGGGGCTCCCTGTTGGTGCAAGGGGTTAAGACGCAACATATGAAGCTGTCCACAGCCACTGCAGCACGAGTTCAATCCCCGGCAGCCAGGAAGCAACCCACAAGACTTCTCCTGACTCGCCCACTGCTCCCCTTAGCAGTGTACTTTGGTCAATCTGCCTGTTCTGCTCCCCACTCTGTCTCTGGTGTATCCTCTCACCCCCCACACACCTCTGGCCTGTACCCCAGCTCTTGTATGCATAAATAAATAAATCTTTAAAAAATATATATTAATGGGTCTTGATTGGACGATGCAAATATGTCTACAAAATGGTAAGGGAGGAAACACTGTATTTGCTTCCTCTCTCCAGACACCCTATAGTCTTTATGTCTTTTAATTTAATTTTATTGAGGTAGCACTGGTTTGCAATATCATATAAGCTACAGTGCAACTTCTTACCTTTTCAAATGTGCGATAACACACCACACCTGACACCAGATTTCTAATATGCTCTACCTGGCAACATCCAGCCCCCTCTCTCTCCAACCCTCCACCCCTCCCCACCCCCCTCTGGTGGCCCCCATTTTATTGTCAGCATCTAAGGGTGCTTTCATTGTTTTGTTTCATCATGAGCTTCATTACTTCATATTTCATATATTAATGAAATAATATGGTATTTTTCTCTTTTTTTAACTTATTTGCCCAGCATAATCACCTCAAGTTCCATTCATGATGTTGCAAACAGGAAGATTTCATGTTTTTTCCATTGTGTATATATTCCACACATATCACAGTCTTTAATATGACTTTCTAAAATCTAAATCCCAGACATATTTATGCTAGGAAACGTTGTCTAATAAAACCCCAACTAACATGTTGAATTTGGTAGAGTATTGTTTAGTCAAACACGCCCTAAATTATAGTTGAGATTCTTTCCTTTGTTTTTCCATTTTTAACCTTAGATTTATTTTATATGGTGTAGAAATTGAGTGTTCACTGCTGCACAGACAACACACTTCATCAATCACCCAGTAAATGATAAGTTTCCTTCTCTGAAAACGATGGTTATAATAGCACCACTGATTGATCAGGAAAATTGATATTTTGGATAATGCCTTTTAAAGTAAATCCAGATACATACATGTGCACAAACATACACACACATCTTGGGTACATTTCATCCAGTTCTGGTAATTTAGTTACTTGTGGTTCATTTATTAGGTTGAAAACACACTGTTAATTAACTACTATTTAATTTATTAACTCTGACTAAAGCCTGACCTGTCAGGGGGGAAATGATTAACTATATCATACCAGGCTAAAATATTACACAGGAGAATTTTATGGATATATTCTTTCTCGCAAACAGTTTATCATTCAGAAGTACTCTACTCTACCTCTCTTCTCTACATTACTTGCTCTACTCAGCATCCCTTCCCACTTTGGATAGCCAAGGTTAATTTTTTTAATATACTTTTTTCCCATCAATTTTAGATTTATAGAAAAATTAAGAGGATAAGATAGTGAGTCCCCATAGAGTCACCACCAGTCTTCCCTGTTATTAACATATTAGTGTGGAATATGTGTTAGAATAATTGAGTCAGCTTGGCATGTTATCATAAACTAACGATCACACTTTAGTTGAATTTTTTTTAGTTTACACTTAATGTCTTATTTCTATACTGGTATCCCAATTTCTCACATATTCCTTCTTTTTAATACCTTGACAGTTTTGAGAAGTACAGATCAGGTATTTTGTACAATGCCCCTTCATTGAGATTGGATATTTTTCTTATAGTTACACTGGGGTTTGATCCCTTGGCTGAACTACCATTTATTGGTTTCTCCACTGAAAAGTTAGTCTCCCTCCATTTGGAAAAAAGTCCTATTTGGAAAAAAGTCACTGCATGGACTTTACTCAAAGAGCAGGCAATTAGTTACACTCTCCCTCTTCAAATGCAAAGTCTCTACTTACATTATTTGGAATTCTCCTGCTTGATAGATTATTTGGAATTCTCCTGCGAAGCTGAGCTAAAATCAATTCTTCCCAATTCCAGATCCTGGTCCTGTTTTTTTACTGTAGCCAACTAGAAAATGCACAGTAGTCCACTATGCCATTATTCAACTCAGAAATGAATAAAACATTTACCTCAAATAAGCGCAAGACTTTGGCCAGGGCACCAACTTTCTTCTTTGAGAGAAAAGATCAAGGATACAGCACCATTTTGATTGGAGTTGTCTTCGATGTAGCTTGTCTCCTAGAGGATTAAATGTACTCAGTTAAAATGTTTTCCACCGTTGAGTAACTTATTATGGTGAAACCTCTAAGGAAGAGGCAGGCATAAACTCTCTTTCAGTTAAGTCTTGGAATACAATGAGCTATTCTGCAGATAAGTCAAGGACAGTGATACTTTCAATGATGCTCCTAGGTCGAATTTCAGTTTGGGAAGCTTTGATTATTCACTGATGTCACCAGCCACTGTATAAATTCAATACCTTTTCAATACCTTTTCAGTACCTACCATGCCAGGTACAATTAAGTCTCTGAGAGATACAAATGCATGCATTTGTCCCATGCATTCTAATGTCCCACCCTTCAGTTCTTCAAAATCTGCCTTACTAAATACATACGCAACAAGCCAAATAACGAAAAGAAAGGTCCTTAGAAGTCTTCTAATTTGATTCAAAAGTGTCAAAACACTGAGAAATACAGGAAAGTGCTAAGAATAGAACACACACAGGTCTTGGTTTCCAAAAACCAGGGCTGGAATATTCTTTTCGATTTAACAGGAAGCACTTTGTGCAAATCCTTTAGCCTACTTAGTTTCCTCATCTGTAAGATCAAGCCCTGGCAAACAGTATTCAGACAATAAAAGCAAAAAGGATAAAATAGTTTAAATAGAATATTAAGAGAGTCTATACAAATGGTGGGAATTTTATAAATAAAAATACACAAGAATAACTTCTTGGCCTCAGGCAAAGACCTCAGGGAAGGATTAATTTATGCACACATGCTGGAATCTGAGATACTCAATTGTTGAAAAAGAATTACAAAATACTTAAAAGTATACAAATAACCTATGGGAAGGTGGATGTCTTAAACAAATCAGCAAAGAATGTCAAGGATCTAGTATTTTCTACATGCGTATGAGAGCAAACCGAAGTGGGATGAGGGTGGGCATTCCAGAAAAATGTTTGCCAAAACACATAAATTTGTAAATAAAATTTTAAATTAACTTCTATGAAAAAAAATACAAAGTTCCATTGCCCATAAGTAAACAGAATGTACCTAAGACTGAGACAGAACAAATATGCAGAGCTATTTCTCTTTTGTAAGCAAGTTAATGAAATCAGTGGAATGGACATTACATCATCTGAGTTAGGTCATGTTGGGCAGACTTTCCTAGAGACTCAACATAATAAGCTCTGCAAAATACTATGACCCTAAAGATAAAATTCTTTTAATTCAGAGAATCCAGGTTTGCTCAGAACCTCACTGGAAACAACGGTGTTGGAGCAGAAGCAAAATTATCAGCATGTATGACTAAGAGGGATCTTAATCCTTTTGAACTGATGTAGCCACATCTAAGGACCATGATGTTATCTTTCTAAAAATTTCCATCTACCATTTATTAACAACCTGTAATGTCCCATGCATTCTAAAAAGCATTTTATTTGGATTATTCCACTTAATTTTTATAACAATCAGGAAGGTAGGTTTTTATTTCTTTTTTTATTCCAAGTGCCCCCTATTATTGATAACAAAACTAAGACTTAGCATAGTAAGATGCCATAAATTCCACAGTGAGCACTGTGGTCAGCATCAGCCATGCTGTTGGGTCCAAGCATACTGTTTATGGATCACAACGTCCAGAGATTCTACCCAACTGTGTCCCTCTTCTAAACCCTGTTAGAGATGTCAGTCTTCTTTCTACCAGAGAAAACTGAACTCTTAGTCCTTTTTGGTTTCCTTAAAATGACACAAGATTCCCATTTCTAATACACTTGGCAAGCTTCCTTTCTGCTGGCCTCCAAGAAAAATATCCTCGATCTGCCTGAACCAATGTCTCCAAAGGCCAGGGAAATTTAGACTTGACACCCTCCATGTCATCTCCTTCCCACTTCTGTGCCTGTCCAGTTGATCACAAAACCAATCTGACCTCCAGTTGATCACGAAATCAATCTGACTTGTGGAGTTAGGCCTTCTTTGCTCCCACTGCCAGCTTGCTAAAATTGTTCTTAGTGATCTGCATTGTTCTAACCTGGAGAGATTGCTGCTAGTTTCCTTCTACTCAAAATTTTTCAGAGGTTCACTTGACCAGTAGGATAAAATAGCTTTCTTACATCAAGAGTCTCGGTGGTACTTCCACCCACAGGAACCTCCCCTCCAGCAAACTAGTTTTCTCCTTGTCCTTTCTTCATTAGGGTAAATGCTTTGCTTTCCCCACTTCCAAATATCTCATCCTACATTAAAAGCCCTCTTGGGTCTCAGCGCAGAAAAACTCTGTACTCCTCAGCCAAGGTGAGCAACCCATCCTCTGCCAAGGTGAGCAATCCCCCTCCTCCATCTGTGCATTCCATTTGGATTCATGGGGTTGATAACAGTTGATGCAGAGCTAGAGTTGTCTTCAGAATTCATCTAGCTCAACCCCCTCATGTTGCAAATGGAAAAACTATGGACCAAAGAGAGAAAGTGTGACGCACCTGAGATGACACAGGTGAGTGGAAGGTCAAGAACCCCAACTCCTACAGATCAAACATTCAATATGATTCTCTCCACTATGCATATCATGTCCATATTAAGACTAAGATGTCTCTTTCTTGCACACCAGGGGCTGCATTCCTGTCCAATCACCATACTCATTACCACTCCTAAAAGCCTTCATCTTAAGGGACCATGCCTGGCTCATTTCACTCTCTGCATTCCCTCATACACTTTCTAAATCAGGGTTTCTCAATAAGTGTTCCTTGGATCTCCACTCCAAAATTATCTGGAGATTCCTGGACCCACCCAAACCTATAAAATCAGAGTCCCTGATATTTTTCAGATATTCTTAGAAATATGAATAAAAATAAAATATTTATTTTATTTTTTTAAAAGATTCATTATTTATTTATACAAGCACTGGGTACAGTCAGAAATGCAGGAGGGTGAGAGAATTCACACCAGAGCCAGAGCAGGGAGCAGAATAGACAGACTGATGAAATACACTGCTAAGGGGAGCAGCGGGTGCTGCAGGAGAGGTCTGCCTGCCATGTGGGACCCTCGCCAGTGGCCAGGAATTGAACCGGCACTGCAGAGGCTGAGGGCAGCTCCGCAGCCCAGCGCTCAACTGCTGCGCCACCAGGGAGGCCCAGAAATCTTTATTTTAGAATCTGTATTTTCCAAAGCATCCCAGATAATTCTTAACCATGGACAGTTTAAAACCACTGATAAAAACACAGAATAATTTTTAATAATGACTTTTCACAAATGTATCTGCAAATTCATATCTACCACATGTGTCACTACTCTTTATTGTTATTACTATTAATAATAAGGCCTGCCATTGATCGAGTACCCATAGGTACCAGGAGTCACACTTGTGACTTTTAACAGTTAGTAGACATCATCATTGGCAGTAATTAGTATTGTTCTAAGCTCATGTAGTCCTCACTAACGTCCCTTGAGGTGGGGGCTACTGTTTTGCAAGCGAGAAAATGGACTCAGCAAAATAAGTAGCTTCTCCAAGGACACTGAAGCAGTGAGCACAAGAACCTAGAACTGAACCGTGATCCAAAGTCCTATTCTGTCTCTGAGTGACAAACCCAAAGCAAGGACAATAGTTTCACCTTTCAAAGTCTGACACTCCATTTTTTTAATCTTTTATTTTTATTTTTATTTTTTAGTGAGGGTCTTTAAATGAAAGGAAGCTCATGGACATTTGTGAAATGATGTAGCCTTCAGTGGCTTCTGATGTTGGCACTGCTATGTTAATCCAGGACAGACTCTTGGGCAAATCTCTTCCACAAATTGTTTTTATGTTTTACAATCTACACCTTTTGTTACTATAAGCATGCAAGTTGATTTGGAAACACATGAATACCCAGAATGAAAAAAAGGCAGATAAAAGCAGTCTAGATAAGAAGAAATAGATGGGCCTCTCTGGTGGCTCAAGGCATTAAGTCTCAGCACTATGAAGCTATAGGCAGCCATTGCAGCAGAAGTTCAATCCCCAGGCAGGGAGCTGAGCCACATAGTGCAGCAGACCTCTCTCTCCACTGCACCCGCTGCTCCCTCAGCAGTGTATTTCAGTAGATCCACCTGTTCTGTTCCCTACTCTGTCTCTAGTGAATCCTCTCACACACAGCCCCCCCCCCCACTTCTGACCTACAGCCTAGCTCTTTTATGCACAAATAAATAAATCTTAAAAAAAAAAAAAAAAGAAGTAGTAGGGCTGGGGGAAGGAATTTTACTACCAGCCAGGAGAAAAAATTTTGATTGTTGAGCAATACATTTAATGAAAGACACAGTCTGTTCAATTGTGTCCAGAAAATACATTTGTTTTCTTTGAAAAAAAGAGCAGTTTTCAAAATTACAAGCAATAGCCCCCTTTGGCAAGGAGAGTCCAAAGACACTGACTTTCA